AAGGTTCCCCACGTCTGCAGAAGGGGGACAGTGGAGCACTTAAAACTCAGTGTCCTTATTTTGGAGGTAATAGCACTGTAGAAGGACAATCTGCGAATTCAATGAGGTAACGTAAGTAGAGCATTCAGCACAGTGTCAGCAATATGACAAGTGATTATGTAGTTCATCGGGGTTGTTACCCTTCTCGTTGTGGGAGGTGTTTGACGTGACGTTGGAATCATCACTGTGTGGAGTTCTAGTGGAGAGACTCACGGATGGGTCTGACACATGAGATGGCTGTTACTTCGAAATGCTAACTGGGTGTAACTGACTAATAAAAATCGGTTTGAACAGCCTCTGGAACCAGTCAACCTTTCCATGTGACCTTGAATAATATCACCTTCTTGTTTTCAACTTTCTGTGATTGTTTCATTACCTTTAAAATAGAGATATAACAAACCTTCCTTGGATTGTTGTAAGGATAAAAAGAGAAAATACACATAAAAATTTTAATGCCAATATGCTGATTTTTCTATAAATGTGAACACTTTTATAATGCTGAAGCAGCTAGAAAAGGATTATTGAAAGATGCAGGACTTGAGATATGTCTTAAAAAGTACTAAAAATTTAGTAAAGTAAAAGACAGTAGCAAGATTATTCCCATAGAAATAGTTTGGACAAAACATGGAGATGGAATTAAGCACTGTGTGATCATCAGACAGGGAGGAGACTTCTCCAATTAGATGAAATTGGCTCTGGGTGATTAGTTAGAAATCAAATTGGATGGGATGAGTAAGGAAAAACCTCAGAAGACCTTTGGTTTAGGATAGTAAGCAGTAAGAGGGACATTCCTCATGTGCTCAGGTAAGGGAGCAAAACATACATATGATATTTTAAAATAATCTTTGGAATTTTCAGAATAAATTGCCTTCCTTATGCTTAAAAAAATTATGGATGCATTTTTGCTACAGGCTTCGTTAACCTAGAAATAGAAATTCTATTTTAGGGCAATTTCTATTTCAGAAAGTCCAAGACATGTTTCCTCCACAAAGTTTTCCCTTCAGATTCATATCACAGTAGTTTTCTTTCTTTCTTTTTTTTTTTTAATTTCTTAGTATTCAAAATGATGGTCTTTATATTTGTGTCATCCATCATCATCTTTTGGGAGTGAATTTGAATTCAAGATATGTTGCCAAATCACTTTATATTAAATCTATAAAAAGGGTATTCTTAAAAATTCTTAAAAAGGCTTTGCTTTAAAAAGAGACCCATTAAATGAATGAAACTGGTATTTCTGGGAAGCTTGTAAGTTGGTTCTGAAAAGACAAGTCCCACAGGAAAAGTCCAAAATTATATTATATACCATACATGCATGGATTAAGGCACAACTTCTCAAAGCAACTCTGTGAAAAAGACAACACTTTATTAACTGCACACTGAATCAGTACTTAAGTCAAAAACAACCATCATCATTTATGGTGATGCAAACACTAGTCTATTAAAATTATTCATACCTACAAGTGCCTTGGGAGAAAGGATCATGGCTCTATTTTCTTTATTTGTAATTTGTGAGGGCAGTGTGAGTACTGGCTTCCTGCTATATGGAATTAAATTGAAATTAGACGAATGTAGGCAACAAGAAAAGGATTTCTCTGGTGAGGAAGTTAGCCCAGGCATTCTGCATAGTGACTAGCTTCAGTCAGCACTTTCTTCGGTGGTTGGTGGACAGCAGAAGTGAAAAAGCAACAAAGATTTGGTGTTTCAGAGGAACAGGTGCTTGACAGTTATGATAGTCTAGTCTAGGCGGGCTTGATTGTATTTTTTTCTTGGTAGCTTCTCAACTATTACATGACTTTCTGGATTTTTGAATTAGACCCCCATCTAATCAGGCATGGAGAAGGGTCAGGGATTCTACTTAAAATAACACAACAAAAAACAACTAATAAACTCTTGAGCTCAAAGGAATGCATACAGACCACCACAGGAACACAAATTTGACACCCCCCCAAATATCATTGAAATGAACTATAAAACCCAAGGAGGATGGAGGGTTGAAAATGACCTCCTTCCCTCTATATTTCTGCCAATGTGTCGTTTGAATCTCCTGTGATGGGATTTAAGACTTCTCTACAGCTGCTACTGGCTTTGGCAATTCATTCCTTCAAGCCCTACCCATAAACATGGACAAACTCCTCTAATCCTCCAGGGGTAGAAAATGAGATAGGTGTGAAGTTTACTCGAGCAGATCAGAAATTCCACCACATGTGTTCTATTCCTCTAGATAACTGGCAAGGGGATCATCAGAATGAGCTATTGCCAAGAGCCACCTTCGTCTTCATGGTTCCAGTGTGATGGGGCCCCAGGCCAGAATTGCAAAACAGTTAAGAGAATCTTGGAATATAAAACATGGTACAGAACACCAAAGAAGATTTAATCTTATTTATAGAAGGGTGGTTGGGAGGGGAGGGGACGACAGAAGAGAGTGGCTTGAGATCATCATTAATCATTTTGTAAGTACCAACCAAGTGAAAACATCCTTCTGGAATTCACTGCAAGTGACACTGAGTCCTTCTACTAAGCAAATAGGTGATGAGTTGATAAAAAAAAAAAAAAAAGGAAAAAAGGGAAAAAGAAAAGAAAAAAAAAAAAAAGGAAGGTCCTGAACTCTTGACTATAGATATAATACAGTGAATATAGAAAATCAAAAACATGCTTTCTATCTGACTCAAAATAAAGGTGCACTTAAACTTGTAAAAGACAACATTTTTATTTGAATGATATGACAGAACTGTCACAGGAGTGTTACCTGCTATAAAGAAAGCCCAAGAATTATTACCTTTATTAGACCAGTGACACTGAGCTTTAGCCATACATTTCTAACTTCTGTCCCTCTACAGAGACAATTTTCTTTTCTTAAATAAACTGTCATGCTAGTGTTAATATATTGTTGGCTCTCTCATGCTCTGAGAATACTGCTGATATAAAACATGTATATGTTAGATTGGTAATAGTATCTTTAGTGTAGCTGACTAGAACAAATGTGTTTCCCTCATGGCTGTGCTAATGTGATAAAGGAAAATTGGCTGTTCATCAGCTTTTGGCTGGGTAAAGACAGTAGAGATGGAACCACATTCTTTTTTATGCATTAATACCATCGAGAACTTTTCACTAGTTATATTTCATGTGCCTGCATGTTGCACAAAGATGTTGTAAAACATGAGATAATGCTACAAATAACAAAGTAGAAAAGCCTGTATCTTTTATAATGATAACAGTCAAACACCAAATGACAGTAACAGGCTGTAAAAAATGGGATGCAAAAAAAATGGAGTCCTACGACCCAGCTGAGAGGTATATATGCAGGCCCACAAGGACCTGGTATGTGATTTTAGGTGTTTATGTCAAGGCTTTGTTTTATAATTCAGTAAAATGTAACATGGGGTCAGTAGACTTAGAGAAGTACATGGTTTTAATAAAAGCAGATTAGATACTATGGAGAAAAGTTATATGGAATAACTTCTTGAAGAATTACTATTCCCAAGTAATTATGTTGTTAACTCTCAGGATTGGTTGATTGGTTGGTTAGTTGGTTTGGAGAGAGAGGGCTGTTGAAAAGTGTTCTAAAGACATTTGCTTACTCACATATGATCTAAAGATGTTGGAGAATGGTTTATTTTCATCAATTACCGTGAGGAAGTTTTAATTGAACAGCATTTTGAATGCTATGATTTGATGTGTTTTTAATTAAAGTGTTAGCATTGAACCTTCCGATTGCAAGACGTTGTAATTCCTTCTTTCCCCATCCCTACTCCAACCCTCCTGTTTTGTTTGCCATTTCAGCCTCTTTGCTACAGCACCAATTCCTTGTACGTTCAAGTTAAAAGCACTTGAACAGGACTTTGTCGAGATTAAAGTTAGTATCAAACAGCCCATCAGTTTACTCAGAAATATATTCAATTATTGAAGATTTTCTATAAATACGATCCATGAAGTAGTCTGCATAACCATTTGAACTGGCTATTCGGGTGTCACTGCACACCAATAAAATTTCATAACTTCATAATTTTACAATTATAGTGTAATTGAGGGGTCATCTAGCCACAACTCATGGAACAAATCTGGTTGGTTGAATGTTTTATTATTTTATTTTTCATTTTTTTAAAGATTTTGTTTATTTGAAAGAGAGAGAAATTGGCAGGCAGGGAGAAGAAGATGCAGGCTCCCTTCTGAGCATGGAGCCCATCATGGGGTTCCATCCCATGACCCCAGGATCATGACCTGAGCCGAAGGCAGGTGCTTAACTGACTGAGCCATCCAGGCTACCCTGTCAAATGGTTTAGTAAAATTTCCCTGGAACACATCCATGCTTGTTCTCTGCTTTCCTACTACAGTAGCAGAGTTGAGCAGTTGTGACCTGGACCATTTGGACCACAAAATAAAATCGCCTGGCTTGCAGATAAACAATGTTTATTCTCTACCTATTTACAGAAAAAGTTTGTTGATCTTTGATGTGGAGTTTTTAGTTGTCTGATTAATTAGCCTAGAATATTATTGTTAAATTTTTATATTCTGTATTGGAGGAGTACCAATGAATATCACCAACTATGGTACCAACACTAATAAAAGAAATATTTATAAGAAGCATTTTATATTAGCAACTTAAACTGAATTAAATCCGTATGTTATACATTTTTGGTATATCTAGCTTTGAATATTTCTGCCTTTTGTATTCATTTCTGTTTATTTCCAAATATGTGCTTAAATATATGGGACAAATAATTATATATACCTGTGAATTCCCTGGTAGATATCACAGCATAAAACAAAAATATGTAGGTTCATATCTAGATATATAAACACAGAGACATATCATTGAGCCATTAAAATAATTTGTTTTCATTCTTTTCCAACTGAAGAAAGTAGTGAAGTAGGAAATTAACTCGAGAAAGACTGCTAAAATGTAATTATTATGAAATACAAGGCTACACACTTCAAATAATAATGGTGATAATTTCTTACAGGTGCATCAGACAAAGATCAGTTTCTTCATCAATGGTTTGGAGGAGGGTAATACAGCATTTGATGCAAGAACTCTAAGTGGTTCAATTATAGATTTTGCCTCTGGTACTACGCAAATAGGACAGAGTTTAAATGGTAAGTTTCTGACTTCAGAAAATTATTTATTTTATCCAATTACTGTATTCCTAAAGAAAGTGTCAAAAATAATATTTTAAAATATCTAGGTTTATTTGTTTTCTGGGGTTGCTGCCACAGATTGGCAGCAACTGGGTGGAAGCTTATTAAAGCAGAAATTTGTCCTTTTCCCACAGTTCTGGAGCCTATAAATCTGAAATTAAGGGTTTGCAGTATTGTTTTTTTCTGGAGGTTCCTCCAGAACCTCTCTTTTTGTGCCTCCCCTTTTGATGGCTTCTGGAAATCCATGGTGCTCCTTGGCTTGTAGCTGCACAGACCTGATCTTTGCCTCTAAGTTCACCTGAACTTCTCCTCTGAGTTCTCTTCTCTTCTCTTCCCTTTTCTTCTCTTCAGGAGGACTTGTGGTTAAATTTAGCATCCCCCTCCCCCTCCCAATCCTATATGCTTTCCTTTCCAAATCCTTCATTACATATGCAAAGACCGCATTTCCAATATGGTCACAGTCACAGGTTCCAGGTGGACATATATTTTGGAGGTCACTATTCAACCTGCTATACTAGGGAAACTTTAAAGTCAAACTGTAACCTATTAAGATCAATTTTTAAGTAAGAACAATACACGATAAACTATTCTCAATTTTTTGGTTTGAATTTTAAAGTAGGATTTAGAGAAGTAGAGACTGAAAAATAATATTCAACAATAATAAGCTGGATTTATGGTGTTCATATCTTCTCACCATAAAAGCAGACCATATAGGTTTAAAAGATATTTTATACTATACCCTGAATAAAAACAGAAATTGAATTTAGAATTATCTTGAAATGATTAGAACAATTGTCTATAAATTGCCTATACGTTAAAAATGGAATTGTTATTTTATGGTATTAAATAATAAATACTCATTATAAGAAAATTCACCCAATATAGAACTCTATGAAATAGAGAATATTTTTCATTTTTCTACCTTTGTAGATACAGTTAATTTTTTAATACCCTTCCAGAATTTTAGTACATATCTCTGGAGATATGGTTATAAATATAATTTTCCAAAAATGAAATTATAATACATATGCTTTCTCTGAGCCCCCTAAAAATAAGTACTTCCCCTCCAAATGATATGGACAATATTCCATGTTAATATGCCTCCTTGTTTAAAATGGCTGCATTGTGCACAATTCTGTAGCTGTAATAAGAACTTTAAAACAAGATCCTATTAATGAGCATTTAGATTATTATTTATATTTCAATATTATTAGCAGTTATTTGTCAGAAATAATTATATATATCTATGTTTCTATAGCCCTGTGTCTATATCTGTCTACTACATGCATACACACATATATACCTACCTATGCATTTGAGCAATTGTCTACACAGTTCCTTAACACCTTAAACTTTGGTGTAAGTCTGCCTGAATTTAAATCCCATCTCTCTACTCAGTAGCCATATGATTTGGAACAACTTTTCAATGACTAAAATGTAATAGCCACAAATTTAATTTGTGTGTATTTTAAGTTTTTATCTTAATTCTACTTAATTAACATACACTGTTATGTTAGTTTCAGGTGTATAATATAGTGATTCAACATTTTCATGAATCACCCTGTGCTCACCACCACAAGTGCCCTCCTTGATCCCCATCATCAGCCTAATTCACCCCCCTACCCCCTCCCTTCTGGTAACCATCATTTTGTTTTCTATAATTAAGGGTCTGTTTCTTGATTTGCCTCTCTATCTTACTTTTCTTTTTCTTTACATTTGCTCATTTATTGTGTTTCTTAAATTCCACATATGAGTGAAATCACATGGTATTTGTCTTACTCTGGCTGACATATTTCACTCAGCATTATGTTCTCTAGTTCATCCATGTCGTTGCAAATGGCAAGATTTCATTTTTTTAATGGCTGAATGGTATTCCACTCTGTGTGTGTGTGTGTTTCACATCTTCTTTTTCCATTCATCAGTCAGTGGATACTTTGGCTGTTTCCATGTCTTGGCTATTGTAAACAATGCTGCTATAAACATCAGGTGCATGTATCCTATTTTTTTTTTTAAAGATTTTATTTATTTGACAGAGAGAGATCACAAGTAGGCAGAGAAGCAAGCAGAGAGAGAGAGAGAGAGAGGGAGAGAGGGAGGGAGGAGGAAGCAGGCTCCCTGCCCCTCAGAGAGCCTGATGCGGGACTCGATCCCAGGACCCTGAGATCATGACCTGAGCTGAAGGCAGAGGCTTAACCCACTGAGCCACCCAGGCAGCCCCTGCATGTATTCTTTGAATTGGAGTTCTTGTATTCTTTTAGTTTCCCCAAATTTAAAATGATACTGATGACATTACAGTTCCATTGTGAGGATCAAATGAGGCTATGTATTAAGTACATACATTAAAAAGCATTACTGTTTTTCCAGAATCTGGCACACTGTGTTTGCTGAAAACTTAATGGTATTCTTTGATCAACAGAAGTTCCTAATTTACTAATTTTTCTTTTATACTTAGTATTTTTTTATGTCCTGTTTAGGATATCTTTGCAAACCCTGATCTCATGGAGATATTCTTTCTACAATTTAATTAGAAATGTCATAATTTAACCTCTCAAATTTAGGTCTGTTTTCTATCTGAATTTATTTTTGGGTGTGGTACAAGGTAGGGGTCAAGATTCATTTATTGTTTCTCACCTGAATTTTTAACTGACCCAGAACCATTTTCATTAAACAGATAATTTCTTCACTACCCTGCAGCGCATGGTAACTGCAACAGACCATATACTGTGTATGTGGAGATGGGTTTGTTCCTGAGCTATTTTGTTCCAATGATTTTTTTGCCCATACTTGAGTCAAAATATTTAGTTTTCATAGCTGTAATTTTATAGAAGTCTTAAAATATGAAAGTATTTAATTTTTGAATTGTTTTTCCTTTTAGTATTTTGTTGGCTATTATATGAATTTTAGAAGTGGTTTTACAATTTTCACAAAAATTCTGCTGAGATTTGAATCATTAACTCAATTTTGGGAAAATGGGCATCTGTATGATATCAGATCTTCCAATCCATGAATATAATGCATTTCTTAATTTCTTCCAACATTGTTAATTTTTGGCCAGAAGTCTCACTCATTTGTAAGACTTACTTCTATGTACTTGTTGGTTCTTTTTTCATGCGATTATATGGAGTATTGTTTTCAAACTTCATTTTCTATTATATAAAAATATCATCAATTTTTATACTGACCTTGCTAAATTTTAATTCTAATAGTTACATAGCCCTATCAATTATATATAGCAGACATTCAATTTTTTTCAGATACTTTCAATAAATGCATAAATGATCATGGCTTTGGAGTTGTCATGTAGATATTTATAAATGTGATTAATTTTGAAGTAATGTAAAATTTCAATTTGCATTCCCCTATGGCCTGAGTTATCTAATTGTGATCTAGTATATAAAAAAAAAAGAGTGTATTTTTGATATTCAAAATGCATTCTAAAACTCTGTGGTTAAATTTCCTATCTTTGGTGTCCAAAAACTTAGAATTAAATCCTATCCCATTGGGTGCCTTTGATGAAAATATGTATCCTTTGTAAATCTCAGATTTCTGATCTACAAAATGGTTTTAATAAAGAGTTGATAGGACTATAACAAGAATTATTTGAGATCATGTGTGGGTAGACTATGTTGCTTATCTTATAGTAAATGTACAGTGGGTGACAGCTATTATTAACCTCTTTGAACACCTATTTTCTTATAAGTAGGGATAATGATATCTTTCTATAGGATTGTTGAGAGATCTGAAGACAAATGCCTAGACATAACTCTATTTTAATTTGTGTATGTTCTTCGATCAAACTAAACTTCTGTGAAGAAGTAATTGAAGGAAACTATATATTTAGAAACTGGTTTGAGTAATTAGTGTATTGGAGAATTTTATAAAGTACTCTGCATACAGAATCTCTTAATAAAACATTAAATCTTGTGAGCCTTATTTCAATATTTAATTCCCATTAGTACATCTAAAAGTGTTTTATTGCACCAAATGTTGCTCAAAGTATCTGAAAGTGCTATAAATTAGTCTGCTATGCACTGTGGGGTTGAAATGACTTGCTTCAATTCTTCTTCAATACACTAAATGTTGAATGAATGCTGCAAAAGGACAGTGCAGACTGAACATGATATTTGTTTTTAAACTATGTAAAAATAAATGTAACTTCTGAATAGAAAGCACGTCATTGGAAAAGGGTTTATTTCAAATGTTGCTTAGTCTTTATTATAGTTTTCTCCTTAAGATTTGGGCATCGGAGTGCTACAAGGGAAAGGGTATTTTAAAATAATTTTTGTCTTTATTCTATCAATTTATAGGTACAGTTGTACCTACTGTATCTTTTCTCTAATTAGAGATGGCATATAGACTGGCTCATTACTTCTGCCTAATGAGCCAGGCTCCATGCCACCTCTCTAATCAGAAAAGAGATAGGTACAGAATGTTCCCGTGGACTTATTATAAATCATTTTCTTTCTCTCGCTTGCTCCCTTTTTTTAATCAAAAAATTAAGTCACTGTCCTCCATACTTTTGTCCATATCCAAGATGGTTTCATTCAGGAGAGGTAATTGTGCAGGAGATTACTGAGAGCTGAATTAAGGGTGCTCTCATGCAGGGCCAGGCCGGCTGTCTCTGCTTTGGAATAGACACTGCCTCAAACCCAGGCATAGCAAATGAAGGTCTATACGAGATCAAGATGTCTTTCCTCTCCTTTCTCCGCTTCGGTTTAAGTTGTTTCCCTGTTTCTGTACCCAGGAAGAGACAACTTTTCACATGAGTGTTGGCTTGCTACAGAGCTTTGTGTGTGGGGGGGTTGGGGGGGAGGTTCTCATCTCTAACTACCATAACTTTCTAAAAAAATATGTTGCCAATGACACATTTCTCTTGCTGCAGGCCCTGTCTTTGCCTCCTGTAGGACATTAATCAATGACCAGAGAAATGCTGTTTAATTTGGTTGGGCTGATTTTTT